TAATGTTTATAAATATTTTGCAAATATTTACAAATAGGGAATTCAATATTTTTTTTTTAGTAAACACGGAAGTTGAACGGAAGTTGTCATCTTTAGATGAGAAAACAATTGAATGAATCGATGTCCTTTTACAACTGTGTCTGTCATTGGCCTACTCATACATGTTAGGCAGATCTTTTTCTTAAGGTTTTACTCTCATGTGTAATAGGTTTCTAGTTCAATCTGTGACTCGAGATTGAACATAGGCTAATACTGGTGAGTCAGGGTCAAATATGCAGTAGATCGATTCATCAGCTTAAAAATTTTAAGTTAAAATAAATGTAAGTTTCCTTTGCTTTATTTACTTTTCTGTTGTGTAGGAGAAAGTATTTAGATTAAGTAGGATAAAGATTATTGTTGATATGTATTGATTAGCTGAACACATGTGTTATATGTATTGATTAGCTGAACACATTTGTTATATGTATTGATTAGCTGAACACATTTGTTATATGAATGGATCAGCTAAACACATGTGTTATATGAATGGATCAGCTAAACACATGTGTTATATGAATGGATCAGCTAAACACATGTGTTATATAAATGGATCAGCTAACCACATGTGTTATATGAATGAAACAGCTAAACACATTTGTTATATGAATGGATCAGCTAAACACACTTGTTATATGAATGGATCAGCTAACACATGTGTTAAATAAGACATGAACTCATACACGCACCCGTGAATATTCAGAAATGTTTAGTTTTCTAAAAATAAATGTGGTTATAATAAACTTTATTTTGAGCTTTTTGTCGAACTTTACTAAATACTAAACTTTGGATGTATTTGTTTTTTTGTTGTTTTTTTTTTTTAGAATTTTCAGTAACTAAACAAAATTTAAAAAAAAAACCAAAACTATTGTAGATGTTTTCGTTTTATCACAAGAAGTGACTAGAAACATGTCTAAACAACATGGTTTAAAAACACAAAAACATCTAGTGTGGTTTTCAGAAGGTCGAATACTAATCTCCTGTACAGCAAATCAATATTTGTTTCAAGTTACAACTTAGGCTTGACGAAAATAAATAGAAATGTAGCCTTAAACTGAATTAAAAAAAAATTTGTAAGTTCTCTAGGATTGCTATTTGCATAACATAGATTCTAAAAATACTAGATTTCTGAATAATTTTCAGGCTTAATTTAAAATTTTTTTTTTTAAAGCCGGTTCTAACAACAAAATTATCAAACACAATTCGTCAAACATGACTGCCTTAATTAGCTGAAGTTGATTGGAAAATGTAAAGCGACAAGTGTTCACTTATTTTTGACGGTGTGGAGGTGGTGTATGGTTAAGTAATGTCCATATTCTGCAACCTATTCCTACTTGATCCTATAGCTTTAAGCTCCCTATGTATACATTTCTACTTCTCCCAAGGTTCCGCTCCCCAAGTTCCATAGGGCCAAAAACAAAATATCATCAACTGATTCAACTGGTAGATGGTTTTTCTTACTACGGCCATGACAGTCTAGCCGTCCCCACAAACCTGTCAATTTTTTTCTCCCATAGCTATACTTTCTTTCCCAATATATCTTGGCCATCCTATGTTCCTCAAGACATCTTGGCCATCCTATGTTCCTCAAGACATCTTGGCCATCCTACGTTCCTCAAGACATCTTGGCCACCCTACGTTTCTCAAGACATCTTGGCCATCCTACGTTCCTCAAGACATCTTGGCCATCCTACGTTCCTCAAGACATCTTGGCCATCCTACGTTCCTCAAGACATCTTGGCCATCCTACGTTCCTCAAGACATCTTGGCCATCATATGTTCCTCAAGACATCTTGGCCATTCCTTATTCCGCAAAATATCTGGGCCATTCTCTCATTCTCTATACATGTTGCCCGTTTTTCTCTTTCTCGAAAGATTCCGTTCCAGTGCCTGTCTGGTTGTGTTAGTCACAGTGTCACCCGGTGCGCCTCTTAATGGTGTCACCCCCCCCAGAGGCGTAGCGACCCTTCCCGGGGACAAACTTTCAATTTTCGATTTGCACCCCCCCCCCCCTAAATCTGTCGATTTGCACCTCTTAAAAGACTATTTAACACTCGAATTAATAAATTTATTAAATGGAATTATCATTTTTCTCTCTCTATTTTTTTTTTGCCTTGGTGTCACCCCGTAAACGGTGTCACCCGGTGCGGTCCGCATTCCCGCCTTCCCGCTACGCCTCTGGTTAGTCGTGCCTCGCTGAAGTTAATGCCCTATCCACAACCCCCCCCCCCCCACCCTCTTTCTAATACTTCTCAAAAAATGTTTACGAATCTCACTTACCAGCACTGAAACCTGTTCTCAACAAAGGTAGTCTCAGTAGCATACATGAATAGAAAAATTTATTCTTCAGATCATACGGATACCTCTTACAACGGTTTATACATTTTCAGCAATGATGAAATCTTCTTCTCCGGTGATTTTGTTTTGCGCCTCCTTAATTGTGAGCTTCAAGCTGCTTTCAGGTATGTTTGATGAGCGAGGTGTATGATGGTGAGTTCTTCTGATGATGTGGTTATTTAACCGGGGTTCGAGCAACCCCTAGGGGTTCGTTGAGTCAGTCAAAACACCCACCCGCTTCATATCAATTGCGATCGGATTTTGTCTATACTGATGGTACATATGTCCCCGGGCGCTGACCTTAGGGGGCGCCAAAATGGGTTGAAAAAAAATTAAAAGCTAATTTTAGCTGCAGATTTGCATTATAACTATACGCAATATATGGGGGGGGGGGCAAATTAAAAGTGTGTCACCATACTGGGGGGGGGGGGGGGGGGGACGCCAAATTGTTAGTTTGTCCCCGGGCGCCGGGAAGGGTCACTACGACTCTGATTGTGACGTACATTGTTGGTTAATAGCCAACGTGTACATCGTCCGATTTCTTTCTTGATATTTTAATCCCTTCACACAAACTACGTCGTACACAATAATAGAGAACGATCGGACAAATATGTACAATGTGGATTCACATATTTAACGAAACTTTATTGGAGTCCGCGTTCTAAATCCTTGATTTTTGTATGGCAATGCCACGTTGAGCAATTCTAGCACCGGCAAGACTAAAAGATAACTTGGAAAGAAATTGCAAAAAAAAAAAAAAAACGCTCGCTAAATTCATTTATGAACGGGTTTTTGAAAGTCAGCATTAAAAGTCAAACTGATTTGCATTAAAATTATTTGCTTTTATGTGTAAATCATATTTAATGGTTTAATTTATTTGAACACAGAGATGGTCATGTACCAAAGTTTGAATTTTAATTAAAAAATCGTATTTTATTTTTCCTAAAATGACGGGTTCGCAGAATGAACATATGAAAAAGGTAAAGAACCACTGGTCTAATACAGTGTATCTTCCCGACTTTTTTCTCCGGGAGGGGGTGGGGGGCACTTGATATTTTCGAAGCATCGGTCGTCATTTTTCGGGGGGGGGGGCACTAGTAAAAGTGTATGTTTACTCTATAAATTCAACCTCGTGGGGGGGGGGGGGGGCAGTAGACTTTCTTCGGTGGGGGGGGGGGGGGGGGGTCGAGCCCCCTCGAAGTGATGCCTGTGAGAAAATCTAGTCTAATAATATATCATGTTGTATCTATTATGTAGACTCTCTTCCATTCAATGCTGAACTCAAACTAATCGGTGGCATTGGTTAATTTTTTTCTTTCCTTATTCCTGTGCCAGGTGCAAGCACCACACTTGGGAGATATTTTCTGTTTTCCACGATTCCCATGTACACCGGCATCAGGACACCCGCGGAGACCGAAGAGGGCGGGGACTCGGAATTGTGGTTCATGGTTTTTACACTGTCCATCACACCAATAGAGGTACCATAGATGTGGTTCATGGTTTTCACACTGTCCATCCCACCAATAGAGGTACCATAGATGTGGTTCATGGTTTTCACACTGTCCATCACACCAATAGAGGTACCATAGATGTGGTTCATGGTTTTCACACTGTCCATCACACCAATAGAGGTACCATAGATGTGGTTCATGGTTTTCACACTGTCCATCACACCAATAGAGGTACCATAGACGTGGTTCATGGTTTTCACACTGTCCATCACACCGATAGAGGTACCATAGATGTGGTTCATGGTTTTCACACTGTCCATCACACCAATAGAGGTACCATAGATGTGGTTCATGGTTTTCACACTGTCCATCACACCAATAGAGGTACCATAGATGTGGTTCATGGTTTTCACACTGTCCATCACACCAATAGAGGTACCATAGATGTGGTTCATGGTTTTCACACTGTCCATCACACCAATAGAGGTACCATAGATGTGGTTCATGGTTTTCACACTGTCCATCACACCAATAGAGGTACCATAGACGTGGTTCATGGTTTTCACACTGTCCATCACACCGATAGAGGTACCATAGATGTGGTTCATGGTTTTCACACTGTCCATCACACCAATAGAGGTACCATAGACGTGGTTCATGGTTTTCACACTGTCCATCACACCGATAGAGGTACCATAGATGTGGTTCATGGTTTTCACACTGTCCATCACACCAATAGAGGTACCATAGATGTGGTTCATGGTTTTCACACTGTCCATCACACCGATAGAGGTACCATAGATGTGGTTCATGGTTTTCACACTGTCCATCACACCGATAGAGGTACCATAGATGTGGTTCATGGTTTTCACACTGTCCATCACACCGATAGAGGTACCATAGATGTGGTTCATGGTTTTCACACTGTACATCACACCAATAGAGGTACCATAGATGTGGTTCATGGTTTTCACACTGTCCATCACACCAATAGAGGTACCATAGATGTGGTTCATGGTTTTCACACTGTCCATCACACCAATAGGGGTACCATAGATGTGGTTCATGGTTTTCACACTGTCCATCACACCAATAGAGGTACCATAGATGTGGTTCATGGTTTTCACACTGTCCCTCACACCAATAGAGGTACCATAGATGTGGTTCATGGTTTTCACACTGTCCCTCACACCAATAGAGGTACCATAGATGTGGTTCATGGTTTTCACACTGTCCATCACACCAATAGAGGTACCATAGATGTGGTTCATGGTTTTCACACTGTCCATCACACCAATAGAGGTACCATAGATGTGGTTCATGGTTTTCACACTGTCCATCACACCAATAGAGGTACCATAGATGTGGTTCATGGTTTTCACACTGTCCATCACACCAATAGAGGTACCATAGATGTGGTTCATGGTTTTTACACTGTCCATCACACCAATAGCGTTTTCATATATGTGGTTCATGGTTATCACACTGTCATACACACCAATAGAGGTACCATAGATGTGGTTCATGGTTTTCACACTGTCCCCAACACCAATAGAGGTACCATAGATGTGGTTCATGGTTTTCACACTGTCCATCACACCAATAGAGGTACCATAGATGTGGTTCATGGTTTTCACACTGTCCATCACACCAATAGAGGTACCATAGATGTGGTTCATGGTTTTTACACTGTCCATCACACCAATAGAGGTACCATAGATGTGGTTCATGGTTTTCACACTGTCCATCACACCAATAGAGGTACCATAGATGTGGTTCATGGTTTTCACACTGTATATCACACCGATAGAGGTACCATAGATGTGGTTCATGGTTTTCACACTGTCCATCACACCGATAGAGGTACCATAGATGTGGTTCATGGTTTTCACGCTGTCCATCACACCAATAGAGGTACCATAGATGTGGTTCATGGTTTTCACACTGTACATCACATCAATAACAGTACCATAGATGTGGTTCATGGTTTTCACACTGTCCATCACACCAATAACAGTACCATAGATGTGGTTCATGGTTTTTACACTCCCCCACACCAATAGAGGTACCATAGATGTGGTTCATGGTTTTCACACTGTCCATCACACCAATAGTGGTACCATAAATGTGGTTCATGGTTTTCACACTGTCCATCACACCAATAGAGGTACCATAGATGTGGTTCATGGTTTTCACACTGTCCATCACACCAATAACAGTACCATAGATGTGGTTCATGGTTTTTACACTGTCCATCACACCAATAACAGTACCATAAATGTGGTTCATGGTTTTCACACTGTCCATCACACCAATAGAGGTACCATAGATGTGGTTCATGGTTTTCAAACTGTCCATCACACCAATAGAGGTACCTGGCGAGGTTGTTCGAGTCTAGTTGTAACTGTTCCCTAGTGGAGGGTACTTATGCAGGTAGGTGCAGGTGACATGACCTACCAACAGGTATATACAGGTGATATCATCTGTAGGTAGGTACAGATGACATCCCCTGCCTGTAGGTATGTAAATGCAACATCACCTGCAAGCAGATACATGCAACATCACTTGCAGGTAGAAAGGTGATATCACATCTTAAGTTGATGGTGAAATGCGGTCATTTTTTGGACCCAATTAGTTTGGATATGGTAAAGGTCACTGCTAGAGGTAGTATTGCCGATTTTGAACTTTGCCTGTAAAATACAGAAACACATATATGTATATATATAAATATAAATATAAATATAAATATATATATATATATATATATATATATATATATATATATATATATATGTATTATATATATATATATATATATATATATATATATATATATATATATATATATATATATATATATATATATATATATATATATATATATATATATATATATATGTATGTATGTATTAGGTCGAGTTAACAACGCCTTGGTTAGAAGGGCCTGCAGCTCTACAAATGTCGAAGACTTTCAACAAAGCGGTTTTCGAAACTTTTGTCATACCTACTGAAACATTGTAAGTGCTCGTAATTTTGGCTCTTTTTATGTAGTTCGAGTTGTCGTCAGTTTGTTAATGTTACAGTTTGTTGTGCTATTGTAAGTCAATCGGTCGTTAATTAGTAAGTGAATTTGTAGCTAGTTTATAAGTCAATCTGTCATCTGTTGGTAAGTATATTAATTTTCATTAGTTTGTAAACAAGCCAAGCTTTCCAGTGGATAGGGCATAATATTCAGTTTTGTGGGACCACATATGGTTCAGTTTTGTGGGACTTTTAGGTTTAGCCGTCACGAGCTTTACCGACCTGACGACCCCGACCCCCCAAGGTCATATCTTGGTCTTCCTCCGTGCCACTATTTTTTTCTTCTCTTGTTTAGACTCGACTTTGATAAATAAAATTGGAGAACTAAATAAACTAATGACGTGTTTAACCCTCCCATTTGACGAGACATCTATTATCAGTGGCTACACATCATCAAATAACGTATAACTGCAACAGCACACACTCAGGGGCGGAACTACCATACCGCCAGAACATGAAATGTAGGGAGGAAGGGGGGGGGGGGGGCAAACCGTTTAGGGCAGAAGGTCCAACATCCGAAAAAAAACACCAAAATATTTTTTTTCCTCCTTAATATATTTAAAACACAATAAAAACAACAACAAAAAAAAACAAAAAAAAAAATATAAAAAAAATAAACAGTTCTATTGATCGTTCTACTGTAACTAACACGCCCTGTTGCATAGAAAAAAAACAACAACACGATTTGTAGTGAGAAAGTTAAGCAAACATTCAAAACACTTCCATGACTTAGCGCTCCTTTTAATAGAAAAACACCATAAAGCTAATATTAATAGTTTCGTACTAAGTAAATTAAAAACAATTTGTTCTAGTAATTCTTATTTAAATACGAACATTCTAAAAATGTCGCAGCTATCAGAAGGAATATCTTGAAAAATAATACGATAAATGCACAAAAAAAAAACAATAATAAAACAAACACAAATCAAACCTCTGGATATAATTGAAATAGAAATAAAGACGTTTTTAAACACAATTATATCAGGCCCGAAACATATTTTTGTTGTCTCACAAAGGATATACTTTGCAATGAAATAGGTTAAATTACTAAATTAGACAATGGATTACATAATCAATTAAATATTTAGAAAGACAATCTATAATATATATATATATATATATATATATATATATATATATATATATATATATATATATATATATATAATGGCGATAATCTTTGTGATCCTGGTTGGTAAGAGTTTCTTGAAGGCTAATTTAAAGTATGTCACGTTTTTTTATTTTGTCATGCTAATTTCTGTTGCGAGAATCCAATTTGCGTCTCGCCGATGATTTGACCAACCTTTTTTTTATGTTCTACCCCCCACAGCTCATCAATGAAAACGGATTTCGAAAAATTCAGCTACAAACTCACAGGAAACTACAACTTTGGCGTGATTGTGTTTATAGTTCCCGCCAAGTTCTCGTGTGACTCCTTCACTGCCATACCGATTGAGGGATGGGGGAAGAAATACATTATTTTTACAATATAGTAAATACATACATTTTAGATGAACACAGAGCGTAAGATCTCTGAACCAATGGTCTGAGATAAATATCTTGATATATAATTGGTTTGGGATATTTTGTCTGAGATCATTTGTCCCGGAAGTCTTTTGTCCAAGTATCTTTTGTCGTTGAATTTTTTTGTCCTCGAGATAATTTGTCCTTAAATATTTTGTCTGAGATCAATTGGTCTCTTACCATGATATATATATATATATATATATATATATATATATATATATATATATATATATATATATATATTTATTTATTTATTTATTTATTTATTTATTATCTATACATATCCAGTTTTTTATTTTGCACTTTGCTTTTATAAATCAGGACAATGGTATCGATATGTATAGTTATCTAAAAAAATATTGCTAAATTATGTATTCTATATAATGAGTACTTTATACGGCTCATTGTATACTGACTTTTGTATAATGTAAAATATACTAAGTTTGTACGAAAATATTTCAAATTTCCACTTAAATAGTAGTGTTTTATTGAAATATAAAAAAAATGCAAACACTTCACTTAAAAGTAGTAATACACACCTTATGTTTTTAAAGTTTGAGAACCATTGAGGATTGTTAGACGGGGTAGTCGGATGGTTGAGTATACAACTGCTAACCCAAAAGTCTAGAGTTTGAATCCGTCCACCCAGCTCTAACTGGTACCCAACCCACGTTCAGGAAAGCAAAGCACTGAGCAAAAAATACTGACCACACTATCCCTTCATACGCCGAGGTCACAAGTGAAATCTATTTAACCTGTTCAAAAGGCCCTCAGTTGCTAAAGGTTACTTTACTATTATTTTTTTTACCAGACAAGATCTCAGTACTCACACCGTGCACGTGTTTTGTTTTCAGCGCGTATTCGACTATCTCGGTGACCACGTACCAGGATAACAAAATTACGTTCAACCTGAAGGCTTGCCCCACAGTGTCGAAGAGCGAAGACCAGTTCATTGAATACCAGGGCAGGAAGTTGGTCGACGGTGACAGCTTTGATGTGGTCTTGCCAGCGTAAGCAAGGCATGATGATGTTGTCTGGTTGTTGTGATGTTGTCTGGATGTTGTGATGTTGTCTGGTCGTTGTGATGTTGTCTTGTTGTTGTGATGTTGTCTGGATGTTGTGATGTTGTCTGGATGTTGTGATGTTGTCTGGTCGTTGTGATGTTGTCTGGATGTTGTGATGTTGTCTGGTTGTTGTGATGTTGTCTGGATGTTGTGATGTTGTCTGGTTGTTGTGATGTTGTCTGGATGTTGTGATGTTGTCTGGATGTTGTGATGTTGTCTGGATGTTGTGATGTTGTCTGGTTGTTGTGATGTTGTCTGGTTGTTGTGATTTTGTCTGGATGTTGTGATGTTGTCTGGATGTTGTGATGTTGTCTGGATGTTGTGATGTTGTCTGGATGCTGTGATGTTGTCTGGATGTTGTGATGTTGTCTGGATGTTGTGATGTTGTCTGGTTGTTGTGATGTTGTCTGGATGTCGTGATGTTGTCTCGTTGTTGTGATGTTGTCTCGTTGTTGTGATGTTGTCTGGATGTTGCGATGTTGTCTGGATATTGTGATGTTGTCTTGTTGTTGTGATGTTGTCTGGATGTTGTGATGTTGTCTTATCGTTGTGATGTTGTCTGGATATTGTGATGTTGTCTTGTTGTTGTGATGTTGTCTGGATGTTGTCATGTTGTCTGGATATTGTGATGTTGTCTTGTTGTTGTGATGTTGTCTGGATGTTGTGATGTTGTCTTGTCGTTGTGATGTTGTCTGGTCGTTGTGATGTTGTCTGGATGTTGTGATGTTGTCTGGATGTTGTCATGTTGTCTGGATGTTGTGATGTTGTCTTGTTGTTGTGATGTTGTCTGGATGTTGTGATGTTGTCTTGTCGTTGTGATGTTGTCTCGTTGTTGTGATGTTGTCTGGATGTTGTGATGTTGTCTTGTTGTTGTGATGTTGTCTGGATGTTGTGATGTTGTCTTGTCGTTGTGATGTTGTCTGGTCGTTGTGATGTTGTCTGGATGTTGTGATGTTGTCTTGTCGTTGTGATGTTGTCTGGTCGTTGTGATGTTGTCTGGATGTTGTGATGTCCGGATGTTGTCATGTTGTCTGGATGTTGTGATGTTGTCTGGATGTTGTGATGTTGACTGGATGTTGTGATGTTGTCTGGATGTTGTGATGTTGTCTGGATGTTGTGATGTCTGGATGTTGTGATGTTGTCTGGTCGTTGTGATGTTGTCTGGATGTTGTGATGTTGTCTGGATGTTGTCATGTTGTCTGGATGTTGTGATGTTGTCTTGTTGTTGTGATGTTGTCTGGATGTTGTGATGTTGTCTTGTCGTTGTGATGTTGTCTCGTTGTTGTGATGTTGTCTGGATGTTGTGATGTTGTCTTGTTGTTGTGATGTTGTCTGGATGTTGTGATGTTGTCTTGTCGTTGTGATGTTGTCTGGTCGTTGTGATGTTGTCTGGATGTTGTGATGTTGTCTGGATGTTGTGATATTGTCTGGATGTTGTGATGTTGTTTGGTCGTTGTGATGTTGTCTGGATATTGTTATGTTGTCTGGTCTTTGTGATGTAGTCTTGTTTTTGTGATGTACATATAATGCACATACAATGTACAGATAATGTACATACAGTGTACAAATAATGTACATATATCATACAGACAGTGTACAGACAGTGTGCAGACTGTGTACAGTTAGAGTACAGATTGTGTATTTTTTTTTATATTTCAAAACCAACACAGGCTGAAAACATTTGCTTTGATGCTCTGCGAGAGAGTAATATTTGGATCCATGACGGGTAAGTTGTTTAATATGAGTGTACCACAAGCTCTTATTTGTATAGATAACTCTGTTGTTTACATCTAATTCTGCTGTTTATATCTAACTCAGCGGATTACATCTAATTCAACTGTTTACATCTAATTTTGCTATTTCCATTAATTCAGCGGTTTACATCTAATTCTACTGTATACATCTAATTCAGTTGCTTATATCTAATTTAGCTGTTTACATCTAATTCTGCTGTTTACATCTAATTCAGATGTTTACAGCTAACGCCGCTGTTTACAACCAATACAGCTGTTTTAATAATATAATTTTAATAAAAATCTTTACTAATTTTAGAAAGAGACTAACGCTTTTCTTTATAGTTATTTAAGTAGTGTTGTGATGCTATGTATTTTAAGAAAATCAACTATTTTCTAATTTTTATTGTATTCTCTCATAAAAACGTGTTATTAAAACGTTTTTTATGTATTATTTTCAATAATTTAATTTTTACTTTCTCGTATATACGTAGTATAGAGAAAGTATTGTAATCGTGCAAAAAAAAAATCGAGATTTTTACAAATCTCGACGTTTTACACCTCACTGATACGGAAAAACATAATTTTGCAATCTTGTCCGTATGTCTGTGTGTGTGTCTGTGTGTCTGTGTGTCTGTGTGTCCGTGTGTAAACACGATAACTTGAGTACCGTTACAGCTAGGTTGATGAAATTTCATATATAAGTATTTTATCAAAATCGTAGATCCGTATCAACTTTTGAGTTATTTTCGATAACCGGAAGTGGTACTTTTCCTACTTTGAATTTTTCAAAAGCCTATAACTTGAGTACTATTTCAGATAGATACATGAAATTTCACATGTAAGTAAAAGATCTAATTCTCTACCTTCTGTTAAATTTTGAGTAATTTCCGTTGACTGGAAGTAGTAATTTACGCTACCTTCGATTTCTCAAAAAACTAATGTAAATTTTAGAAGTACTAATAATATTGCGCACTATTATGCGCTTTTTTATTTGGCGTTCACTTGGTGTGCAATTAATTTGTCTACGAGATTTTATTCTATTTTTAAAACTTGAAGTATTTAAAATGGATTAAAAATCATGTCTATAGCCCGAGTTCCCATCCCCTGTTATTTTATACGAGAAAAATGGCCCGTTGAGGAAGGATACACCGGGCGCTAGGTTGATAGTGCTGTCTCTTTTCTCTAAACTAAAACCAACCCATCCCCCACACACACCTACCCCCAACCACCAACCCCACCCCCCACCCACCCCAGACTTTTTCCTCCCCGGAGAGGGGTGGGGGTAATTGAAATTTTCGGGGGCGGGGGTAGAATTTTCGGGGAGGGGGGCGGACACTGGAAAAAGTATATAATTATATTTCGTTGAATGGGACGGTAGACATGTTTTTTTTGGGAGTGGGGGTTGGGGGTGGGTGTGGTGTGTGTGGGGTGGGGGGATGGGGTGGGGTGATTTCCTCATCGATACTCTATAATAAAATTACCGCTTAATTAATGTGTCTAATCTAAAAAGGGGTTTTCTTGCAATTTCTTTAATGCAATTCTTCGCGTAGTGGCTAAGCGCGACACCAGTGTTTCTTTCAGACTTTTTCCTCCACGGAGAGGGGTGGGGGTACTTGAAATTTTCGGGGGCGGGGGTAGAATTTCCGGGGAGGGGGCGGACACTGGAAAAAGTATATAATTATATTTCGTTGAATGGGACGGTAGACATGTTTTTTTTTTTTGGGGGGGGGGGGGGGTGGGGGGGGGGGTGGTGTGTGTGGGGGGTGTGGGGTGGTTTTAGTTTAGAGAAAAGAGACAGCACTATCAGCCTAGCGCCCGTTGTATCCTTCCTCAACGAGACATGTTTTTTTGGGGGGTGGGGCGTGGGGTGGGGGGGGGGGGCTGGTGTGTGTGTGGGGGGGGGGGTGGGGTGGTTTTAGTTTAGAGAAAAGAGACAACACTATCAGCCTAGCGCCCGTTGTATCCTTCCTCAACGGGCCATTTTTCTCGTCTATAATAATAGTTTCGCTGTCTGTCTATCTATGTATCTATGTATCTATCTATCTATCTATCTATCTATCTATCTATCTATCTATCTATCTATCTATCTATCTATCTATCTATCTATCTATCTATCTATCTATCTATCTATCTATCTATCTATCTATCTATCTGTCTGACAAGAACGCTCTAGAGAAGACACAAGCAATTTAAAAACTCTCACAGTGAAACGAAAACAAAGTATGACGTCATATAGTAGAAACTAATATCAAGCCGGAGAGTGCACACAGTATGACGTCATTGATTCTCGAGTAAACATTGAATAAAAAGGCAATTTTGTCTAATCTAAGTGGTTTGCGTGAAGAGTTTCTTTCATACAGTTCTTCGGGTAGGGGCGAAGCCCCACCCCCGCGTAAGAACGTCTGAGCCCCCCCCCCCCCTCCCAACTCAAAAGAAATTTCCTCATCAATACTCTATAATAAAATTACCGCCTAATTAATGTGTCTAATCTAAAAAGGGGTTTTCTTGCAATTTCTTTAATGCAATTCTTCGCGTAGTGGCTAAGCGCGACACCAGTGTTTCTTTCAGACTTTTTCCTCCCCGGAGGGGGGAACTTTTTCTAATCTAAAAAGCGTTTAGCGTGCAGTTTTTTTTTTCAAGCATCTCTTCCGGTAGGGGCGAAGCCCCGCCCAGATTCTTCCTTTAGTTTGTATGATCTACAAATGCGACCAGTGTTTCTTTCAGACTTTTTCCTCCCCGGAGAGGGGTGGGGATACTTGAAAATTTCGAGGGCGGGGATAGAATTTTCTGGGAGTGTGCGGACACTGGAAAAAGTATATAATTACATTTCGTTGAATGGGACAGTAGTCATGTTTTGGAGGTTGTGTGTGTGGGGGTGGGGGGGGGGGGAGGGCGAAGCCTTCTCCTCCCAAGTAGAGTTGCCTGAAAGAAACTCTAAATGCGACTTTTGTCATGAATGAGATTAGGTGCATGGTTTAGGGATATACCTATGACTATATTTTGTATAAATTAAAGTACCGAGAAAATAGACAGCACTATCAACCTAGCGCCCGTTGTACTCTTCCTCAACGGGCCATTTTTCTCGTAAAATATAATTAGGCATCAAATCAAGTCAAATTTAATATCATATTGCATTGTTTTCAAGTCTCGACAAACGTGCTTAATGTCTGAGAAATTGGTCAGTTAGAAGTGCTCTAAATTCTGCTTGCCCGTTTCGATATATAACGACATATATAGACAGAGGAAGCAAGTTAAAAAGATGCTTGTAAAAATGTAGAAAAATTAATAAATTTATTCTTTGTCATTTAGGAACTGAAATTACTAGCGAAAAAATAATTGGCGTTGTAAGTGGAAACTGCTATGCGGGAACTTTAAGCTTCGGGTGTAATGGTCAAATGAGTGCATCTCAAGAGTGGGGTACTATGGATATTGCTGCAGGTAATCAGACAAGAGACAGATCCAGAGGCGTAGCGACCCCTCCCTGCGCCCGGGGACATACTTTAAATTTGGCGCCCCCCCCCTCCCCGCATATATATTTTTTATATTTATAATTCAAAACTGCAACTAAAATGAGCTTTTAATTTTTTTCCAACCCATTTTGGCGCCCCTAGTGTCGGCGCCCAGGGACATATGTACCACCCATCGCTACTCCTCTGCAGAGATCTCAGTAAAACTCACACACAAACACACTTTCCCACAAAATCATGCACTCGTACACAACACAAGTATAAAAAATGAACATGAACAAGTAGCCTATGCGAATGTATAGGTCTATTTTTGGTAGAGGCACAGGGTAAAATAAGCTTGTGTTTGTTGTAGTAATAATCGTAGCTGTAATTGTAATTGCATCTGTAGTTATAGATGTGGTTGTTGATGTAGATGTAGATGTAGATGCAGATGCAGACGCTGATGCAGATACCAATGTAGATGTAGATGTAGTAGTGACAGTAACTGCTGTTTCACTATACTCTGTACACTAGAGAATAAACATAAATATACTTTTGTGATAATAAATAAATAATTACGCATTGAAAAAGGAGGTAAATGGCTTTTTTTCAATATATAATAATGGACCACTATTTAAGTATCTAAAATGAAGTTGCTGTTCTCTATTATAGTTATTTAATTTATTATCATATTTTCCGATTGTGCCCAGAAATAAAGTTCACCTGTTTCACCGACCTCGGCATTTGAAGGGATAGTGTGCTCAGGACCATGCCCAGCAGCCTTTATTTTCCCTAACGAGTAGTAAGCTACCCATCAGAGCTGGGTGGATTCAGGGACATTCTACTGACTTCAATCTGGACTGGAACTTGAGACTTTCGGGTTAACAGTCTAGCACTCTATCGCTATGCCACGTCTAATGAACTATTTGCTAAACTATATCGTCGTATGATGTAACTTGAGACACGTTTGAAACAAACTTTAAAAAAATATTAACAATTCTTAAAACTAGCTTACCCGTCCCCGCGCGTTGCCGCGGGAGTAGAAGAAAGTCTGACGAAATATATAAGAAGGGTTTCATCTATGCGTTACCAATCCTATATTCTTAGAGGCGTAACCTTGTTTTCTAAAAGTGAGTTATTTAAATGTAAACAATTTCTGCGCTTGGATCATAAATATCGGGACACGGGTTTACCTACACTACCGCACGAAAACCTTAAGGGTACATTAATCACTCACCGAAATAATGAGGTAGAACACACTTCGGTGACCGCCCATGTGTCAGGGACGTAGAGGGGCGCTCGCAGGAGCCCCCCTACCCCCACCCCCTGATTACACTGGTGCATAGGCGCAGCGTACAGCCCCTGGCTCCTTAAACATCAGTGTGACTGATGCAATATGTTAGCGTTACTAATGGTCTATTATTAGATGCTCGATCTCAATTTCTGATGGATTGTCTAAAAATAGATGCTAATTGCAGCATTCGCAAAGTGACAAAACTGTTTCGGATTTTTTTTACGGACAAAAAGAAACATCCCAGTTAATAATCTAACCTTGGTTATTTTATGATTATAAACGTATTACATGGCCCTCAGCGGCCCATGAGAGCTTTTGGGGGCCGAAACAGAAATTTTTATTTGCAGCCCAATCGCACCGTACAATGGCACCGGTGGACACGCCTGATTCAATTTAGTGAGCGCTTGTAACGCCCCATCTTATCCATTGTCTGTCACACTGTTTAGGCCGAACGTAGTCGCCATAGCGCTCACGGGAAAGACCAGGGCACCCAATTGCATCCTGTCGGGGGGGGGGGGGGGCGGGACGCCAATGCAAAATTAAATCCCACCTCCCCACCCCCCTCTCTCCCACCCCAGAAACCTTCTCGGGAGTATTCATCAACTCCCTAAAGTTTTATGACACACGGATAAACTGTGTCGAACCGCAATAGTCTTTTATTTTCTTCTTTCTTCTTCTTCGTTCTTAATTTTTAGTGTTGGGAGTGATCTGAGCCTTATCTTTTATTTTAATATACCGTATATAGAGAAAAAATCCCACCATCCCGTGGCGCCGCCCTTGCAAAAATAAAAATGATATTTTTACAGAACCCTTCCCTGGAGTGTTCTAATCAAGTACCTAAAGTTTGATGGCGATCAGATGAACGGTGTAAAACAGCAATCGACTTTTATTTGTATATACCGTATATATAAAGAAAAAATAAATCGCGCCCTGCTTGGGCGCCACCCCTTCGAATTTGATTTTTTCCCCAGAAATATTGTTAGCAACTTCCCAAAGTTTTATGGCAATCGTGTGAACGGTGCCACTGCAATTCACTTTTTGTATTTTTATATACCATAGGTAGAGAAAAATCGCACCCCCTCCCCGAGTCGCCGCCCTTGCGAAATTAAAAAATATTTTTTGCAGAACCCTTCCCTGGTGTGTTCTAATCAACTCCCCAAAGTTTGATGGACTATCGGATGAACGGTGTGAAACCGCAATCGACTTATATTTTTATATACCGTATATAGAGAGAAAACAAATCGCGCCCTGCCGGGGCGCCTCGCCTGCGAATTTGAAAATGTTTTTAGCGCAGAAACTTCCCCAGGAATATTCTAAACAACTTCTCAAAGAATTATATCAATCGGATGAAAGGTGTAGTAATACATAAAAGACAAACAAACACACACACACACACACATCGACATACATTGCTTTAAATATAATATAGATAAAAACAACAAAAAACATTGTTATAAAACTGTTTTCTTCCTTAAATTCTATCTTAATTTTTTTTTTTTTACATTTTCTTTTAGAGATGATGATGCCGGTCGAATCTTACGGAAAAGAATTTATTATGCTGTATATGCCAAGAAGAAGACGTCAGGGTTTTCATACGGTTACAGCTGCCTTCCCAGATACTACCATTCAAATAGGCAATGGCGGAGGCAGCGAAACCTTTGAAAATATTGTTCTGAAGGATGCGAGGAGCAACGCGGATGTGAGTCTAGCGAATTTAATTTAAATAGTAGTAGTCGCAAGGAGATTTGAGCATCGGACACAATTTTAAAAAAAAAGCACCTTTTTCAAACCTGACGATTCCAAGTGAAGTAGAGTCGACCTGTTTAAACGACCTCGGGGTTTGAACAGGCAGTGTGGTCAGCCGCAGTGACTTTCCTTAACGTGAGTCAGGTACGCGTCAGAGATGGGTGGACTCAGGGACAGTCTACTGACTTAAACGTGGGATACGAACTCGAGACTTTCGGGTTAACAGTCTACTATCCGACCAAGCCGTCCCACTGAACACAGTTTAAGTATGGTACATTGGTCATACTGGTAAGCTACATTGGTAGCGAGGTCGGGTGTCACCCGGTGCGGCACTTAAAGGTGTCATCCCCCCCCCCAGAGGCGTAGCGACCTTTCCCGGGGACAAACTTTCAATTTTTGATTTGCACCCCCCCCCCCCTAAAACTTTCGATTTGCACAAAATAGGGATTGGTCAGTCCGATGACCAGCTGACAATAGTTTAAAACGGAAATGAAACTGGTATGTCCGAAAGTCTTTTTTGTGCCCAAGACACAAAAGGCCGCCACAGAGAGCCCCCTCCACTTTTGTCTGGCAATTTTCCTAGCAGTCCCCCATGACAGCCCTGTCTGTCCCCCATGATAGCCCTGTCTGTCCCCCATGACAGCCCTGTCTGTCCCCCATGACAGCCCTGTCTGTCCCCTAGACAGCCCAGTAAGTCCCCCATGACAGCCCTGTCTGTCGCCCATGACAGCCCTGTCTGTCCCCCATGACAGCCCTGTCTGTCGCCCATGACAGCCCTGTCTGTCGCCCACGACAGCCCTGTCTGTCCCCCATGACAGCCCTGTCTGTCCCCTAGACAGCCCAGTAAGTCCCCCATGACAGCCCTGTCTGTCGCCCATGACAGCCCTGTCTGTCCCCCATGACAGCCCTGTCTGTCGCCCATGACAGCCCTGTCTGTCGCCCACGACAGCCCTGTCTGTCCCCCATGACAGCCCTGTCTGTCCCCTAGACAGCCCAGTAAGTCCCCCATGACAGCCCAGTCAGTCGCCTATGACAGCTGCTACCCTGCCGTGTGCCCCAACTGCTGTTTTTTTCTACGATGCGTCCACTTTCGAAAGTCGTCCAGTTCTAGCGAAATAGTTTCGACAAGGAAAAGTGCCAGATCAACAAACAACATGCAGCAAAAGAAAACACCGGGAAGGCAACATCAGGGAAGGACAATTGGACCCTGGAAAAGGCACGCAGTGGAATGGAGAAATACATTCAGAATAACACTAGTAGCTGACAGTCGATCCACCAAGATAACGGGAAGGGGACAGACAATTTTGTTTCGTTGCTTATTACTGTCGTATGTCATTTTAAACCTGGAGATTTTTATTTTGTTTTATTAAAAGTTTTTTTAAAAACATTTATTCCCCTATCACAATTTATTTATAAGCCAAAAGCAACAGAATAGGCACTCGGGGTAAGGTTTAGAACTACAAGCCAAATATTTAAGAATGACAGAATATTCCATAGCGACAAAGTAAAAAAAATTCCGAGACCAGTCACCACTAGAATGTAACAGAAGATATAGTTAACATATTGTTATACAGCATCTTAACAAATGAATCTAACACAGGGGTCCGCATGCGGCTCTTTTGATGTCAAGATGCGGCTCTCCAGTTCCATAATAATTATATTATTTTCAAAACTCAAAAATATTATAAATATAATATGTATAGTAAAATTTATAATAATAAATAGATGCCTGGAAGAACCACTGGTCAGCAGAGTGGCAATGGTCTTATGCTTTCCACTACCGAAGTGAACATAAAAATGTTAATGGCTCTTTAAAAAATTGGGAAATTCTGTAGATTGTAACTTTTGGCTCTTGAGTATCAAAAGGTTGCCGAACCCTGATCTAACATCAACAATATTCTATGGATAATCGTTTCGAAGCAATTTAATTCCCGCGAAGTTTTATCAATAACAATGTTTCCTTTTTTTAAAATACAGTTAGTGTTTACTGATGTGCGGCATCTCAAAAGTGACAAACCGGTTTTAGTCGTTTATGTACAAGAGTCTCAGTGCACAAGGGCGGGTAATCTGAGAGAGAAGGGCGACCCATCCTTGACAATCATTATCCCGATGAATCTCTTCTACGATATATATGTATGGAGGTATGTTGTGAAGCGTGTCTAATAATATCTCGGCTACGATATCTATGTATGGAGGTATGTTGTGAAGCGTGTCTAAAAATATCTCTTCGACGATAATTATGTATGGAGGTATGTTGTGAAGCGTGTCTAATAATATCTCTTCTACGATATATATGTATGGAGGTATGTTGTGAAGCGTGTCTAATAATATCTCTTCTACGATATATATATATATATATATATATATATATATATATATATATATATATATATATATATATATATATATATATATATATATATATATATATATATATACATATATATATATATATATATATATATATATATATATATATATATATATATATATATATAGAGAGAGAGAGAGAGAGAGAGAGAGAGAGAGAGAGAGAGAGAGAGAGAGAGGTATGTTGTGAAGCGTGTCTAATAATATTTCGGCTACGATATATATATATATATATAGGTAAGTAATTTGTGAAACGCGGCTAATAGTATCTCGGCTAAGATATATACGTATAGATGTAAGTTCTGAAACGTGTCTAATAATACCTCTGCTACAATAAACGTGTATGGAATAGAGGTTAATTGTGAAAAGTGTCTAATAATATCTCTGCTACGATAGATACGTATAGAGGTAAGTTGCCAAACGTCCCAAAAAATCTGAGTTATGCTTTCCTTTTTTATTTGTGCTACTCGCTGGTGAAGAAAAACCACATCCACCAGTATTGACTTAAAAAATGAACGACACACCATCAGTGTTTCTTGCACTTTTTTCGGGGGGGAAGGGGCGGACTAAATTTTCCGGGGGGGGGGGGGGGGGGTCTGACACTGGTAAATGTATGTTTTCTATATCAATTCTATTTCGTTCAGAGGGGGGGGGGGCGTTAGACTTTCCTCCCGAATGTTATACAATTATCTTAATATCTTAATTTAAAGAATTAACATTTTAAAAACAATTTTAAAAATAAGACTATAAAGCTACTAAAAAGAAGAAAACAATGATTTCATTTAAACACAAATAATGAACCACCATTCAAAAACTAAAAGAAAAGCATGGGTTGCTTAATATATGTTAGTATTGATATTCAATATAAGATATCTTACTATTTTCTTGATATATTTAATAATTGTGGCGCATTTTGTATACTTAGGTAAAATCATTTATTTTTTTCTTCATTTTAGTGCACACATAAAAGATTGTTATTAAAACGCTGATTTTTAAAAATTAATTTTATTTTGTGTGCTGCGAACCAGCACGGAATAGAGCAGGAGTGATCTCCCCTAAACTTTCTCGAATATACTTATATAAGACTACGGGAATGGCAATTCAGGATATAGACAATATTTTAATTCTATTTTTAGTTACTTAAACTTTTAAAATGAGAATAGAATATCGTAAAAAAAATTGCCCACCAAGTGAACGGCAAACAGCATGTGTATAATAGTACGGAATAGTAGTACTTTATAAATTAAAATTCGATTTTTGAGAAATCGAAAATAGCGTAAAGTACTACTTCAGGTCAACGGAAATTACTCAAAATTTGACAGAAAGCTTGGGATTAGATATTTAAATATTTTACTTACATATGAAATTTCATTTATCTATCTGAAATAATACTCAATGTATAGGCTTTTGAAAAATTTGAAGTAGAATACGTTCCACTTTGGTTACCGGAAATCGCTGAAAAGTTGATACAAAACTACACATTTAATATTATACTTATATATTACATTTCATCAACCTAGCTGTAACGGTACTCAAGTTATCTTCATATTCTAAATTTGGAAGATGTGTGAAGTGAATCTTATTGAAAATAACTTCATTAGTATGTGTATCATTTTCTAAATTCAATTTTAAATTCAATCTTTTATCCAACAACCAGTGTCGCCATCGGTGTTGTGTAATTTCCGTAGTTGAAACTTTTTTATTAACATTAACATTGTTTCATTGTAAGCTTCAAGTGACGTCGTCCTATTTGCCAGTGATAGTTTTTGTGTTACTTATATGTTCTCTAGAGCGTTCTTGTCAAAACCATAAACACTTCACCGCTTGCATAATTGAATATGTGTTTCAACATTCGAATATGCCTTTTATTTAATTTATTTCTTTAAAGTCTTTAAATAAAATTTAGATACTACATTTAGTACATCAAACATTTTAGTTTTACCGGTTTCAAAAGCTATAATTCTGATTGTAAAAACAAAACAATAGTTTTATTCTATCGTTGAAGTTTGATGATTCATATTTTGTAGGCACTTTTATTTTCATCCTAAGCATTTTTAACGGTTTCAACTAAATTTACCCGATGTATTTGAGTATATTTTCATAAAGTGCATCTGTACGTGTTAACAATTTTCAAATTCGCAGCGGAGGCGCCCGGGCAGGGCGCGATTTGTTTTCTCTCTATATACGGTATATAAAAATATAAGTCGATTGCGGTTTCACACCGTTCATCCGATAGTTGATAAAACTTTGGGAAGTTGATTAGAACACTCCAGGGAAGAGTTCTGTAAAAAATAATTTTTAATTTCGCAAGGGCGGCGACTCGGAGAGGGGGTGCGATTTTTCTCTACCTGTGGTATATAAAAATACAAAAAGTGAATTGCAGTGGCACCGTTCACACGATTGCCATAAAACTTTGGGAAGTTGCTAAGAATATTTCTGGGGAAAAAATCAAATTCGAAGGGGTGGCGCCCAAGCAGGGCGCGATTTATTTTTTCTTTATATATACGGTATATACAAATAAAGTCGATTTTCGAATTTTAACAACCATGAGCTTTGTCGGCTCGACCACATCTCCAACACATTTAAGTATACATGTCAACTGGTTAAGCGCCACTGAGCCTGCTTTTCTTTTTGGATTTGCTTCCCTTGCCTTTGTCCAACCAAGAACAAGCTACAAGGCAGCAGTTGTGTGATTTTGGAGTTGTCTCTCCTAGAAGTGTGGCTGTCCCCAGCTAACGAGCCTCAACTACACGAGGGTTCGAACTCCTGACTTTTCGGTTAAGCAACTATGAGCTTTATCGACTCAACCACGCCGACCCCCTACATAAAAATGAGTGGCTAAATTGAGGTCAATCTATGGATGGTTGACGGTCTATATCCAGTTGGAATTACGCAAACAGCAGATGTACACGCGCTAAGGTGGACAGGCATTGTGACGAAAAAGCGCATCGCTTAAACCTGGCGCTAAGATATGCGCCGAGAAATAAGCCAAGGCGTGTTCTTGCGACTAGTCATTACAAAATGTTGATATTTTTGCTACATAACATGACAGTTCGTACTTTGTTAGATGTGTCTTGTTTGGTGGTTTTCTTTGTTACGAACCTTGTTTCAAATTTAATTTAATTTACTCTCCAAAAAAAGGCGCTAATATCTTCAAACTAGTGGTAGGGGGAGCGGCTGGTATGTGTGGGTGGGTGTGTGAGTGAGTGAGTGAGTGAGTGAGTGCGTGAGTGAGTGAGTGAGTGAGTGAGTGCGTGAGTGAGTGAGTGAGTGAGTGAGTGAGTGAGTGAGTGAGTGAGTGAGTGAGTGAGTGAGTGAGTGAGTGAGTGAGTGAGTGAGTGAGTGAGTGAGTGAGTGAGTGAGTGAG